TTTTTTAAATACAAATAAAAAATACAAAACAAAGATAAAATGTCAAAAAAAGGAAAAAAAAAGATTAATACAAATACTGGTCATAGAGAGATGCCACATCAAATTGTCAATATTCAGCTTTATATATACATATATAGGTTCATGCCCTTAGATGTTATTTTATTACTTTAGCTGGCATCGACATTTTTGTAAATCTGATATCTACTTTGGAACATTTTATAATGTGGCATAGGCTGACAATTGAGATCATAAATTTAAAATAATAAAATTTAATTTATTATAATACTAATATCAATATCATAAAGATATATATCATTTAAAAAATATATAAAAAGTATTATAAATTGTAATAATTAACCGCTTTTTTTTTTAAAATCATATAACTAATTTGATTTACACTCCAAAATTCATAGGTGTCACATAATTTACACATTAATTCTTCATTACTTAATATATGTAATTATATCAATGACATATAAATTGAAATTAAAAAAATACATATTTTATTTGAAAATCACATAATAGTACTATAAGGTATAATAATTAACAACTTAACATATTTTAAAATTTTAGTTGACTCTCCGAATTCCATATGTCTCATGTAATTGAGACAGAGAAAAACATATATTGGTTTAAAATTAATAAAAATATTATAAATTATAATAATTAACAACTTAAAATTTATAAAAAAAATCCTTTAAAATTTTTTAGTTGGCTCTCCAAATTCAATCGGTATTACAATAATTAAAATATAGAAATTAACATAGATTGGACTCCTGCTGACATTTATGTTTCCTTTTTCTAAATTTTTTCTTTTATACTTTATATAAATAATTTTTTTTTATGTAAAAAGTATTATAAATCATAATAATTAATAGCTTAAAATATTTCAAAACATATAAAAAGTTTTTGTTAACTTTCAAAATTTCATCTATACCGCATAAATTGGGAGAAATATAGATATATATATATTTTAAGTTGCTAATTATTGTGAGTTATAGTACGTTTTATGTAATTTTCATATATATTACTCGGTCCTGATTTATGTGATACAAATGAAATTTCAAAAGTCAATGAATTTTTTTTAAGTTTTTTTTTATATTAACTTGTTAATTATTGTGATTTCTAATATATTTACGTAAAACATACTCTAAATACAAATAATTAGCAACTTAAAATATATAAAAACATACTAAAAAATTGATCAACTTCAAATTTCATATGTACCACATAAATTAAAATAGAAACAGTAACATATATTGGGCCCCGTGCTAGCACGGGGTCCCATATCTAGTATATATATATATAAAGCATTACATTGACGTTCCGAAAGAAGAGAGAATTTATTCAGTGTGAAAAAAAAACCTAGATATTATTGCTATAATTCTTAATTAGTTGTCTATATAATTTGATTCTTTTTGTTCTTAAATTGTAAACCTTTTACATTCATAAAGTATTCATATTAGGCGTTTAATTCTTGAGTTGTAAAAACTTTCAATATTGAGGTAGAATCTTGAAAGGGATAATTGCAATTAGAAAGAGTGAAAGCTGTTAATAGTTAGGCCATTTGAGTTGTAACCATGAATTTTTCTCAAGATTTAGTGAAAATTTGAGAGAAAAATCTATTAGCATGTGGTATTTTTTTACTCATCGGAGCAAGGAGTTTTCTATGTAAAATCATGATATTGATTATTATTCTGAATTTACTTCTTGATTATTTGTTGAAGAACCTAATTCTTCAGTACATAGATGAAAACATAAAATAACATAAGCTTTTTAGCTAGGACTGATGGGCATATATGTAAAGTCGTTTAAACAGTTTTGAATTACTCTACCCGTCGCCTTACCTTACTAAAAAATTACTATTTTTTCTATTAAGAAATATTCACAGATTATTCCTACAAATATTTTGATTGTATCGGTGAAAAAGAAAAAAATATTTAGTGGCATTTCCAGTATATTAGTGAGTAGGGGTGTATAAAACCGAACCAAAAACCGAACCAAATCGCAAACCAAGTCAACCCGAAAAAAAAACCCGACTAGTGATTTGGTATTGGGAAAAAAAATCCGACTATATTTGGGTTGGTTTGGTTTAACTAAAAAAGCCCAACCCGAGACCAAACCAACCCGACATTATAATTTTAAAATTTTATTTTATACATAAAAATATTTACTATATTATTTTAAAATATTTCTTATACAATTTCATAGTTTTTATCTTTTAATATATTAATTCAAGTTTAAAACTTAGAATTCGGAATGATCCAATAAAGATTATAGTTCATAGATGTTGATAATTATAATAAAACTTAAATCAAAATCAAATTAATACTAATGCAAAAAGAAAATCAATTCAACACTAAGAATGATAATAATATTGAATATTTGTTCTTTAGTTTTACATTGGTTTAGACAATTAAAATACATAATCTAATTTTATTTTTCCTTAAATATTTAGTAATGTAACTAATACTTATTAAACTTATTTTAGCATGATTTAGTACTTTTAAATTATGATAATTTTCATTATGACTTTGCAATATTTATTTTATATGATGATTTCATTATTATTTTTTATTGAATATTTTTGTGTCATCAGTACTAATCTCATATTTTGTGTTATTTTTTTAAGAAACACCTTAGATAATTGTATTTTGGTTGGACTAAAGAAATATTTGGAGCTCAAGTTAATTATATGTTTGTACGCAAACTTTACCGAAAAAATCCGAGGTTTATTAGTTTGGTTTGATTTATAAATTTAAAAATTCGCCACAATGGTTTGGTTTGGTATTTGAAAAACCCGAACCAACCCGAGGTTGAAAAACCCGTAAAAATCTGAATTTTATTAGTTTGGTTTGGTTTATAAATTTAAAATTTTTACACAAATGATTTGGTTTGATATTTGAAAAACTCGAACCAACCCTGTAATGTACACCCCTATTAGTGAGAATCTATTTTTCATCGTGCATTTTTTTTTTCCAGTAAACTGATTCAATGGGAATGGATATCATGTTTTATTACAAAAATTTTCCATTGATTCACGGTGAGAAAACCCTCTATTTCTAATAGCATTAAGACTTCGGTTTTTTTTTTTTTTTTAATTTCCATCAATATCTTTAATTGGATGCTTAGATTCTTTTGCACATATGATATTTTTTTGAAATTCCCCTTGTTTATTTTTGCTACGTTGGTGGAAAAAGCAATTTACTTTGACAGTATAGTATGAGAGCAACTTGCCAAAGAGTGGAGAATTTTATTTTCCTTTCCCAACTTTAAGCAAATGGAGCAAGAATGTAATATATCATGAAGAGTATAGTATTTTTGACTCCTTTCTAATATGTGAAGAGTATCTATACTACATGGTAGTGCAAATTTTGGAATAAGTTCTCAAAATTAATGCCAATTGAAATTTTTATTAGTGGACTAATTTTTTTTAGGTTTTAAGTCTTTAAAAATTAAGTTTTAAAGATAAGGTGTAACGTGAATGGAAAATAAAGGGAGGGAAATTTGAAGCTAAGGTTTATTTTGATATATATAAACTTTTTTCTTCATTGGTAACGAAGAGGAGAACTTTTGTGCTTATATATATAGAAACACCTCTTCTAACACTTAAAGAGTTGAGAAGAGTTTTTCTTGCGCCGTCGTTGTCGTCGCTTGCTCGATTTTAGCAAATGATGTGATTGATTGATTCATTGATCGATCGATCTTCGAACATATACTTCCTTCCGACAGACACCAAGCACCGAACTGTTCTGAACAAGTGAGTTTACACCTTTTGAACCCAGATTTTAGGCTATAATTAAATAATGAGGGTTTATTACCCTTCGTTTTTTGCATTGAATTTACTTCTTTTGTTATTTTTTACAAATAAATATCGAGTCTGTGTGATTGTGTTGTCAATTTTTGAGTTTGACGAAGTTATTGATATACGTGTAAGGTACTGCTAATAACATGTATATCTCTTTATTCATAACCTCGAATACAATAAGGAGATTAAAATTGGCCAAAGTTACTCGATTTAGATGAGCTTGTAATTTATGCATTACAAATATGTTTGGTGTGAAGCAAAATATTTTATTGAAAATATTTTCTAGAAAAATAAGTGGGTATCTTATTATTTTTAAAAAAAAATATAATTTAGACAATTATTATGAAAGGTGAGGGTTGAGTGGAGGATGGGGGGGGGTTCAAGAGTAGTACTGGAAGTGAAGATAAAGTGTGTTGGAGGGCGGGGAGGACACAATCAATGTATGATATCACTTGTAGAACTTGTTTCCGTACTTTTTAAAAGCAAACTTATTTTCAAGAAAATATTTTCTAAAACTTTCGACCAAACAAACTTAAGAAAATCGAAAAATATTTCCACTTGGCCAAGTTTGTCCATGGCCATTCATTTTCGTGGACAATGAGATTTGAACTCAGAATATCTGTTACTCTACTTTAATACTATACAGAATAATGTAACCATCACATCTAAACATTGAAATTGTTAGAAGGAACACAATTTCAATTACTCATACATAATTATATTGTATTGTCTATTGAAACAATATTTTATTTTTGAGGAATGAGATCTCTTGGCCATTTACAAATCGTATAGAAGAAAATAGTCTTTTCAGATCTCTTATATATAAAAACAAATATCTCTCGCTCTACTCTAACACTCTATTGAACAATGTAACCTTCACATTTAAAAATTGAAATTGTTAGAGATAATACTCTTTCAATTACTCGTACATAATATATTGTATTGTCTATTGACATAATATTTTATTTATGAGGAAATGACATCTCTTGGACATTTAAAAAGTGAACAAAGAAAATATTTTTTTCAGATCTCTTGTAAAACAATGAAGACTTTATTTTAAAAAAACAATTTGTAAATGACCTACAAAGTCAGTTCTCTCGATATTTAGTTTCATTGTTTTCCCCATTTGTAAAGTGAAGAATTCTCCAAACATGTTGATCCTCCGCAGAAAGGGAAAAAGAACAAATTAAACTTAAGTAATAATACTAACTTCCATTAATTGAGATACAAATGAGAATACATTCTTTAATAATTTGAACTAGGGCACACACATCTTCACAACAATTACGTAACATTTTCATACTACAACTTCTTCAACTCAACAATTTATTTATTGTTCCTAGTAGTACTACTAGTACTAATTAATATTAATGTCAAACTTTTCTTGAAATAGGGGTGAGGTGGGGGGTGTCCTCTTGGAACCATGGGAAGGATCAGCTAGAACCAGAACCAGGACATGTGCTGCCTGCTATTCAAGTAGCTCCCGAGTGGGGGGTCTTAATTACTTTTTAAAACAGATATGTAAGGCTTGATAAGTTTAATAAGTGAGCCTTGGAGATGAAGTGACATGACTTCATTAGTAGAACCAACCAATAGCCCCCCAATAAAAACAGCAGGAAACATGAATGAACTATTGACACCCATCCTTATTAGGGCCTTTTCCATTTCTTTTCCATCAGACTCATGATCAATTTCACAAACATATGGAATTACACCAAGATCTTGAAATAATATACTCACTGCATAACTCAAACAACACGTACTCTTGCTAAAAATCAACACTCCATGTTCTCTAGTCATTCTTTGTACCTTGTCCATATTTTTTTTGACAAAAATTAGATGAAGCAACTAGCCAAAAAAAGAGCTAGAGAAATAAAAGGATTTTTATTTCACAAGCTCAAAGATAGATAGGTTAGGTTGCTTGAAAATAGGGGTGGGCATGGTGAGTCTATTTATAGTTATAAATGAATAAAGAAAAGAACCTTTTAAAAGATTGTGAGCTTTATTTAGATGCTTTGAAAAAAATGATCCTACTACTACTATTTTGTTCCACATATAAAGGGCAAGTTGGAAGAACATATATTCTATGTGATCATGCATGCACGTTTTTAATGGAATTTAAGTTATATACATTATCGATATGAAAAATATATATACATTTTATATTTATTTGTTGTAGCAGGTGAATGGTGATAACACCATTTTTTGGACTATATATAGGTTTAATTTTCCATTCATGAGCCACTTTGGTTTGTAGAAGTGAAATTTCTTTCTCTCATATTATATTAGTGTTGAGTTTTGTTCTTAAAAGTCTTTCTTGATTTGTGTGCTCCTTATTTAATATTTAAAAAAACTTGTTGAATTTTGAGGGAATATCTCATAAAGGACAATATCATAGATATGCTTTAAGCTTTCAAAATTTTTCTATAATTTTCAAGATCAAATATTTTTCTATAACATTTCCAACAAGGATGGCATAAAAAGTGCTCCATTGCTCTTTTTTGAGATTAAATTTATACTGTCAGTCAAATACATAATATATAATATAATCTTGAATATTCCACACGTACCAAAATGACTCAAGATTTAATTGTCAAACAACTAGGAATTATTCCACTAATCTACAACTTATAAGTAATAAACAATATATCGTAATCACTAATTATTTCTCAGAAAAGAAATGACTCATGTTGTTTCTCAGAGAACATAAAATAAACAAAACTTTGATAAACAAATTAAAATTTGAAACTAAAAAGTTTGTGATTGATAAATAAACTAATAAAAATAAGAAAATGTAACATGATAATGGAAAAATGAAAAAGTGTCTCGATCATACATGAATAAATACTAAATAAGTAATTTTGGAGAGATCAAGCTTTCTGTGTAAGTGAACCCATTCAGAAATTTACCTCGAGGCAATAATGTAAAGGGTCCTCTTTGTGTCCTAAATTTAATGTCCCTACCTAGTAAATGTGCGCACCAGAATAATATTTCACCATTTGCAAACTTATATTTTGGTGTGGCTCTAAGAAGATAACGATCTTCTATAGATAATATTGCATTCCAAGATTCCTTGAGATTATAATCTCTCATTACCCATACCTTAAAAGGATGGATCCTCTGATCATACGTCTTAGAATAAGCACAATGCATTCCTTCCAATATAGAAATTCCAGTACTGCCGGTCTTCAACAAGCATATTTCCTCTGGCAATGATATCTCTCCATACACTTCATGAGAAATATTAAATGAAACCACAAAGTATTTTTTTGAATAAAATCCAATCCAATGAAATGTCCCATGTATAAATGCCAAAGTATCCATACCAGACACCTTATTGCCAGTGACACGAGGATGTTCATCAATTTTTCGCCAAGAATCACTTTTTAGTGTGAAAATTTCACCAGGCACTTTTTGATTATCAAATTCATTCCCCTCAATTTTTAGAATCTTATACTCACCACTACTTGAATCAAGACCCAATCCCAAACAAGAAGTTAATCCCACTGAAAATTCTGGAATGGGAAGTACCATTGATTCTCTCGTTGAGGGATTCCATAACAAAAGTATATTGGGCTCAACAGTATTTTCAAGAACTTTAATAATAAACAAGCCATTACAACCATTATAGATTGTGCAAAACCGTGGTTCAATGTTTAGAGGAAAATTCAGTTTATGTGTATCCTCAACCAACTGAACCGGCGATAAAGAACAAAAGTATATGGGAAAGTCATCTTCCTCAATGTATTGTTGGTAAAAAAGAAATTTTTGAGAATTCTGATCATTCTTTGCATGGTTGAGATGTTTCATCCTAAAATATGATTCATCAATTAATGTTTTCCAAAATTTTGAAACACATTTAAATCGAAGAACAGACTGCACAGGTAACCTGCTGATGATGTCACTAAGTGTGCCCTCTTCAAAGTAAACTTTCATGGCCTAAATAGGAAAAAAAGTGATATTAGACACTTAGCTTACTCTTAAAAATGTCAAATATTTATACCATTTCAATCAAGATATTAAAAAGATAAACCTAGAATGATCTTTTTCTATTTATTATAATAAAACAAACAAACGGAGTACTGAAATTTAGAAAAAAATTGGTGGAGGAAAATTTTCAAGACCATAGTAGTGGCAACAAGAGAGAGCAACACATGAGCCAATTACTTTAAGCATTTTCAACATATTTGATGTTTAAGTGAAGACATAAATTTATCACCTAACACTATTTATAATGTGACTTACTATTTTATATTTGAAACTATTTTTTTTTTTTTTGGTTGAAAAGGAGTTAATTTATTTATATATAATATGCATCCATACAATTCAGGTGGCTAGAAGCATTACTATTGATACTTGGTAATGATACATCACTTTTCAACTAGCTTTTTCACTAAGAATGTGTTCGGTATTAAGAAAAATATTTTCTTACTTTTTTTCTTTGTTTCGTAGGTATGTAAATAATATTAATAGCAATTGATGAAGTAAATTAAATTGAAAAAAAAAAATTCTTTTTATCGTAGCAACAAAACACACCTAGAATCCAAGTCAAATCGATAACAAATTCCAATAAATGAACTCAATTGATGTATAGTGAACTTACATGATCTAGAATATCCACTGAGTTTGCTTTCTTTGAAGACTCCAAAACTATTTGTCATGCATTTAAAATTGAATAAAATTAGCTCAAACACGCACTATTATTATTAAAGAAAATTAAAACACACAACAAAAATAAACATATACCTTTAGGAGTTTGATTGGAAAATTTTAGTTTCTTTTTCCGTTGGCGATTCAACATCTTTAGAGCTTTGATTTGAATGTTACAATTTGTTTTTATTTTTATTTTTTATGTATCGATAGGATTTGATTGTTTGGTGGCCTTATTTATAAGACAATTTTATTTGTTTTTGGGAAAAATATAAATACACTACCAAAAAGAAATTTTTTGATTATTTATCCATATTAGTACCATCGAACAAAAAGTAACACTATATTATTTTCCTTTAATATCCATCTTCCATATTTAAAATTATAATAATTTAATTTAAAATCTACAATTCTATTGTTTTTGGAAAAAAAAAATAAATATACCGCCAAAAAGAGAATTTTTTATAATTTATCCAAATTAGTATTATCCAACAAAAAGTAACACTATATTATTTTCCTTTAATATCCATCTTCCATATTATCATAATATTTAATTTAAAATGTAATGTTTATTTTTAAACTACAATATTCAATTAAAGAATACAATATCCAACTCATACTATAACAATTATAGAATTCAATTCAAAAGTAAAATATTCAATGAAGTAGATTATATAATTTAAAACTACAGTATTCAATTTAAAAATACAATATTCAAATAAAAATTATCATAGACATCTCCATTTTATCCTCTTTCATTCCATTTGTATATATTTTTTCTTTTTCATTCCATTTGTGTATCTCTCATTTAGTTTATCCTCTTTTATTCCATTCTCTAAATCGTTTTAATTGAAAATATTATTTATAAAATATCTCTTTCTTTTATACATCTCCATGGATTAAATAAGATAATGATCATCAATTTTAACTTGAAATATATGACATATATTATAGGTAGACTAACATAATGTATCTCAAATAAACGGGTGATATACATTCTAATAGACATTAAAATGTATACATATTATTCCGACTATACAATAGCTCAGTATCATATTATTCTATCTATATATATAAAATAATAATATGCATTCATATTATTTCAGTCATGCATACTAATCATATGGAACAATACTGCTCAAGCAAACTCTGAAGGAAAAAAAATAAAGTTAATAATAATTGTCATTTTTCTTACAATAATAATAATTTTTTTATATGGTATGTGCCAACAATAAAAACAATAATATATCTGATGAAATTTCAAATAATAAGATTGTCATGATTTAAAATCGGATCATGAATTGATGACACCTATCTTTGTAAGTCTATGATATATATATATAAAAGTGTCACGACCCAGACCGTCGTGATTGACACTCACACTAACCCTCCGGTTGGAGAACCATTACTACAACCCAAGCTAGACAATTTAATAAAAAACTATCCATTTAAAGATATGAAAACAAAGTTTAAATAACTATATAATTAATATTGAGTCCCCATAAACTCCAAAGGTTTTACCAAACAAATAACTAATCAAACTAATGCGGAAGAACAACCCCTAGAACCTGAAAGTCATTGTATCAAACTCTACTAACGACAAGTCTAAGAACAAGGGGTACAACCCCGAAACTAAACAACACCTTAACAAATAGTATGAGTCTGAAAAGAGTGGACTTAAACAAGGAAGATCCATGGCAGCCTGAAAGAATTGGCTCACCCTTGAATCCGGTCACGCTCAATAGTCACCTAGCTAAGGTCTATCAATAGCCACCTGAAGATGCCATGTACTCAACAAAGAAAGAGCAAGTACAG